ATTTTATTATATTATATATATTATATATTATTATATATATATATATATATATATATATATATATATATATATATATATATATATATATATATATATATATATATAATTATAAACTTATAAAATGAATGTATTGGCCCGTGTAGACTTCTATACCAGCACTCTTATTCCCTTTCACCACTAATACACACATACAAATACATTCCCACACCCGCATATGCGTACAGGATGGATCCGTCTACCTTCAACCTGAGCTGTCTGCCGCAGTCACTGATTCACGCGATGATCCGATTGCCCAGTATTGACATCGCGTATAGCAAGTCACTGTCTTTTGCCGATATGACGAACGGCAGGTACATTTACCCATTACCAGGCGTGTATGGGATATGTGTGTTTGATATATGCGTGCATGAGTGATATATGCGTGTATGAGTGTTTGAGATTTGAGTGCATGCTGATGCGGGTGCTTTTATTTGTATACTTCTTAAGACGATTGAGTGAGTGTTGGTTTCTGTGAACTGCTAACCACTGTGGTTTGCCGATATGACGAATGGAAGTTACAACCACTCAACGCGAAGAGTGTATGCACCAACACCCCTCGAGATATGTGAGTGTGTGCCTTTGAGTGTACGCTTGTCCTTTGAAGGTACGCTTACCCTTTGAAGTAAAACATCTCTTGAGCGCAGTATTACTTTGTGTCCATCTGCACGTTTCAAACGCTTTGTGATTTTGTAAGAGGTAAGACAGAGACAGCGTAGCGTACAAAATGAGAGTACTCGTTTAAAATACTTTTGCATACATATGCCCACTCACCCAATCAATAAATATATACATTATTTATTTATTTATTTATTTATTTATCTATTTATTTATTTATTTATTTATTTGTTTGTTTATTTATTTATTTATTTATATATTTATTTGTTTGTTTATTTATTTATTTATTTATTTATTTATTTATTTATTTATTTATTAATTTATCTATTTATTTATATATTTATTTAGTTATTTATTTATTTATTTATTTATTTATTTATTTATTTATAATATATATATATATCAGTGAGCAATTTTCTCTGGCACTTATCCCTTAACTACTTTTCCCTGTCTCACCTGGTGTGGGCCTGACCTGTTTCCCTCAGTGAACTTCTGGACATGCATTGTCTGACAGTCAATTTGGCTCAGGCGCTGATCAAAGTACATCACCCGTACTCGTCGGCCGTGTCGTTTCAACTGGATTTGTCGTCTGTGCGCTTTAACATCGCCTTAGATCGACACATGCTCAAGGTATGTGGGGGTATGCATACAGCAAGGACGTTTGAGTGTGATTGTGTGGGTTTGTTGAGATATGCTACTTATTGTCTACCCCTCTGCCTGTTGCCACATCGCAGCCTACCGCTGACCGGCGCAATAGACAGTCCACAGCCAATGCCCTGCGCATACCACCAAGTCGCACAAGCACCCCACCTGCTGTACAGTATGGGTAAGTGAGAGTGTTAGTGGAGAGTGTTAGTGTTGTGTGGGTATGTGAGAGTGTTAGTGCAGTATGGGTAAGTGAGAGTGTTAGTGCAGTATGGGTAAGTGAGAGTGTTAGTGCAGTATGATTAAGTGAGAGTGTTAGTGCAGTATAGGTAAGTGAGAGTGATAGTGCAGAATGGAGTTTGTGGATTAGTATTAGTATTGTGTGGGTAGATGTGAGTGTTAGTGTTGTGTGGATAAATGGGAGTGTTGTGTGGTTGAGTGCGATGTCCTGTGACCTTGTAATCTATAAATAGTCTCTCGCTCTCTGTGTTGTGTACCAGTCTGAGACATAGCCTATCACCTTTCTGTTACCACTCCTTTGATTTTCTTTTACTCACATCGTCTTATTCCTTCATGATTCCTATAAAGCTCTTCCTACTGTACTGCCCCGTTGTAAACTAGTGCACCTCTGTTCCTGCCCTCATTAGGCCTGAGTCAGGGTATCTGTTGGGTGCAAATGATATTCTTTTATGATTCCTATTAAGCTCGTCCTACTGTACTGCCCCGTTGTTAACTGGTGCACCTCTGTTCCTGTCCTTGTTAGGCCTGAGTCAGGGTATCTATTGGGTGCAGATGATATTCCATTATGATTATTATTAAGCTCTTCCTACTGTACTGCCCCTTTGTTAGCTGGTGCACCTGTGTTCCTGTCCTTGTTAGGCCTGAGTCAGGGTATCTGTTGGGTGCATATGATATTCTATTATGATTACTATTATCCCCTTCCTACTTTATTGCCCCTTTGCTAACTGGTGCACCTCTGTTCCTGTCCTTGTTAGGCCTGAGTCAGGGTATCTGTTGGGTGCAGATGACGTATCGCGTTTGGACACTCCATCTTCTCGCGCATTGTCACAGCGCCAGTCGATGCTGAGCTCGGTTACGGCCACGACCAGCGGCACCACCTCTAAGCGAAGGTGAGTGCAGGAAATCCTACCTCACCATATACAATTACTATTTGCTGTGCATGGTATTGTTTCATACAATATCATGTTAGGGTTTAGGGTTATACCTCACACAATTGCTGTGTACATGGTATTGTTTCGAATAATATCACGTTAGGGTTTAGGGTTTAGAGTTTAGCACTGGTTGTCCGGCTTTCGCATGTGGTGGTCTGTGGTGGGGTATAGTTTTATTGGCAGCTCCAGTTGGTTGCCATTTGGTAAGGCAACACTGCCTGTGACACTTTTTGACACCAGGCATTTTATGTGACAATTTTTGACACCAGGCAATTTATGTGACACTTTTTGACACCAGGTATTTTATGTGGCACTTTCTGACACCAGGCATTTTATGTGGCACTTTTTGACACCAGGCATTCTATGTGACACTTTTTGACACCAGACATTCTATGTGGCACTTTTTGACACCAGGCATTTTATGTGGCACTTTTTGACACCAGGCATTCTATGTGACACTTTTTGACACCAGGCATT